CTTCACTCTAGTTGGTTATAGCCAAATCAAGTAAACGGAATAGAATAATATTTTAAACGTTTAAACAATATTTTAAAGAGTGGAATAATATTTTAAATCTGGATGTTTTTGAGTAGTATTAGTTGGCATCAAAGGAAGACTTTGAGGCCTATTTGGGAAGATGCCCTGGAGAAGGGAAAGGCTACCCACTCCAGTATTCTGGCCTGGAGAATTCCATGGACTGTATAGTCCTCGGGGTCACAAAGAGTTGGACACTACTGAGCGACTTTCACTTTCTTTCACTTTTCACCCGTGTGCAAAAAACAAACAAGTCTTTTTTGTGAAGCTCAAAAATTGCTTATTTGGTATTTATCTTTCTCTCTACTCACTTCACTCTCTAACACATATATACGGAATCTAGAAAAATGGTACTGAAGAATTTATTTACAGGGCAACAGTGGAGAAACAGACATAGAGAATAGACTTATGGACATGGGGAGAGGGGAGGAGAGGGTGAGATGTATGGAAAGAGTAACGTGGAAACTTACATTGCCATATGTAGATAGATAGCCAATGGGAATTTGCTGTCTGGCTCAGGAAACCCAAACAGGGGCACTGTATCAACCTAAAGGGGTGGGATGGGGAGGGAGGTTCAAAAGAGAGGGGATATGTGTCTACCTGTGGTTGATTCATGTTGAGGTTTGACAGAAAACAGCAAAATTCTGTAAAAAAGATAAATTAATTTAAAAACTTGCTTATAGAGTATTTGTAAGCCAGCACAAAGCACAGGCCACTGTGTCTTATGGCGCCCCTGAAAAGGATTTCAGCCTTATGATTATTTTTCATGTCCCAAGTGCAAAAGTACAGTGAGGGGAGGTAGGGAAGGGCGTGGAGCAACTGAGGATCAGAAAGTACTGGGGTCGATTGGAGAAGAGAACAGAGCAGAGAGGAAGGGGTCAAGGGAGCCATGAAGGGTTCCGGGGGAGGTGCTGGGGCAGGATGTCTTGCCTGTCCCTCTAAAGAGATGTTACAGGAGTCACTAATGTAGAGACCCCAGAACTGAAGGCATTTCTCTGCCTTTTGTGCTGAGATTCCTGGGTTAATCTTCTTCAAAATCAGATTTGATTCCATTCCTTTGTGAAGCAGATTTAAAAAAAAAAAAGGAAGAAGGGTTCCCCTTGTCTACCTATCTCTAATAATATGGGCAGTGTATTATATATAAAATATTTAAAATATCCACTGGATTCAGAAATATAACTTCTGGAAAGTTTCATCTGCTGTGACAAATTTTGGGTTTTCTGCTGTGGATTAAAAAGCGTCAGATAGGCACTGATTCCTTATAAGCTTTCTAAGTCATGAGGGTGAGGAGGAGTATGCTTCAAATTAAATCCTCCTTATTTTACCATCTTTCTAACAGCCTTGTGAAATCATCAAGTTCGCCTGTGAAAATTGCCATAAGTTGTTAGAAAGGCTCAAAAGGAGACAGCGCTGTGACGTGGGGATGGAACATGCTTTGGGAGCATAAATCACCTGGGATTTGGAGAGGCATGGTCCATCCTGGGAGGGTCTTATAATTTATAATACATTCAGCTCAGTTCCTCCTTGGGTAAGTAACCTTCTTCAACATGATCTCAGAAATGAAGTGGATGATATGGAGAACAGTATGGAGGTTCCTTAAAGAACTAAAAGCAGAGCCACCACACTATCCTGTGATTCCACCCCTGGGTGTGTATCTGGAGAAAACCATAATTTAAAAAAATACATGCACCCTAGTGTTCCTTGCAGCAATATTTACAATAGTCAAGACATGGAAGCAACCTCAATGTCCATTGAGAGATGAATGGATAAAAAAGAATGTGGTATTATAGTGAAGTGGTCATATTCAGCAAAGTAAGTCAGACAGAGAAAGACAAATCTCATATGGTATCCCTTGTGTGTGGCATCTAAGAAAAAAAGTTATAAATGAACTTATTTACAAAATAAAAATAGAGCCACAAACATGAAACAAACCTATGGTTACCGAAGGGGAAATGGGGAGGAACAAATTAGGAATTTGGGATTAATATACTGGCTCAGATGGTAAAGCATCTGCTTGCAATGCAGGAGACCCGGGTTTGACCCCTGGGTTGGGAAGATCCCCTGGAGAAGGAAATGGCAACCCACTCCAGTACTCTTGCCTGGAAAATCCCATGGACAGAGGAGCGTGGTAGGCTACAGTCCATGGGGCCACAAAGAGTCGGACACGACTGAGCGACTTCACTTCACTTCATATATAAAATAGATAACCAACAAGGACCTACCGTATATAGCACAGGGAACTAAACTCAATATTTTGTAATAACCTACAAGGGAAAAACATGAAAAAGAATATATATACACATGTGTGTATAACCGAATTACTTTGTTGTACACCTGAAATGAACATGACATTATAAATAAACCGTACTTCAATAAAATGAGATTAAAACAAATGAAACGGACAAAAGGCATGCTATCTCAACAGCGAAGAATCATTCCCCTACAGCATGGCCCCTCACACATGGTAATTTCACACCTGCCCTTCCTGGTGCTTCTTAACATATAACCGGCTAAGGGAAGCTCTGTTCTTCGATCTCATTCATTTAAACAAGGGAGATCGACAATGAGCCTTCGGTGACTAATGGGCCCTTTTAAGTTGACATTTGGGTTTTAAAAATGGAACTATGAATCATCAGATCTGAAGTAATGTTTGTCATATTCCCAGACTGAAATTCATTGACCGTCTTCAGTGTACTCCAGGATACTTGCACTCCACGATATCCGCTGGCAATGGGAAGTGAGCATTGACGTGGCAACTTGCTTAGTTTGGGTTCGCTCCAAAACTTATCCCACCCCTCTTACACTAATTCTCCCCTGTTCTGTCCCTTCCCATTCAGTTGCTGGTCAGAAAGATTCTGGATTTTTTTCTCCTAGAAATCATAAAAAATAATACCATTATCTTGACCACAAAGGAAAAGAGTTTCAAAGTTAAAAGTGAAACTCCTTTTACATTCAAAAGCATTGTGAAGTAGAAAATAAACAGAGAAAAAAGGGAAAACATATGCAATATAAGCCAGGAACCCAGGGAAATGCCCTAACTTCCTTACTCTATCATATTGAAATATATAAAATCACTGCTACTCAATCATTTTCATCTACAAAAACAGACATTTTGTAATTTGCTAAATCTGAGCGTAAAAAACTTTTAGATTGAAAATGGGTCAACCACATGAATGGAAGATTCGGGAAAGAAAAATTATAATATACCTGTAACAATGGTTGACTTCATAAGCAGTCAAAGAAAACAAATTAAAGTATCTTTTGTTTCAAATTGTTTCAAATATATATATATATATATATATTTCCCATTTATTTTTATTAGTTGGAGGCTCATCACTTTACAATATTGTAGTGGTTTTTGCCATACACTGACATGAATCAGCCATGGATCTACATGTGTTCCACATCCCGATCCCCCCTCCCACCTCCCTCTCCACCCGATCCCTCTAGGTCTTCCCAGTGCACCAGCCCTGAGCACTTGTCTCATGCATCCAACCTGGGCCAGTGATCTGTTTCACCCTTGATAGTATACTTGTTTCAATGCTGTTCTCTCAGAACATCCCACCCTCTCCTTCTCCCACAGAGTCCCAAAGTCTGTTCTGTACATCTGTGTCTCTTTTACTGTTTTGCATATAGGGTTATCATTACCATCTTTTAAAATTCCATATATATGTGTTAGTATACTGTATTGGTCTTTATCTTTCTGGCTTACTTCACTCTGTATAATGGGCTCCACTTTCATCCATCTCATTAGAACTGATTCAAATGAATTCTTTTTAATGGCTGAGTAATATTCCATAGTGTGTATGTACCACAGCTTCCTTATCCATTCGTCTGCTGATGGGCATCTAGGTTGCTTCCATGTCCTGGCTATTATAAACAGTGCTGCGATGAACATTGGGGTGCACGTGTCTTTTTCAGATCTGGTTTCCTCTGTGTGTGTGCCCAGGAGTGGGATTGCTGGGTCATATGGCAGTTCTATTTCCAGTTTTTTAAGGAATCTCTACACTGTTCTCCATAGCGGCTGTACTAGTTTGCATTCCCACCAGCAGTGTAAGAGGGTTCCCTTCTCTCCACACCCTCTCCAGCATTTATTGCTTATAGACTTTTGGATAGTAGCCATTCTGACTGGTGTGTAATGGTACCTCATTGAGGTTTTGATTTGCATTTCTCTGATAATGAGTGATGTTGAGCATCTTTTCATGTGTTTGTTAGCCATCTGTATGTCTTCTTTGGAGAACTGTCTGTTTAGATCTTTGGCCCGTTTTTTGATTGGGTCGTTTATTTTTCAGATGAGAAAAAAGCCCCTACCCAAGGTTGAGAAATGTAGGCATGTCAGTTGGCACAACTTTTCTGAAAAGCCTCTGGACAATATATTTATCAAAAGCCATAATTGTAGAGACTTATTTGGGGCTGTAATTGGACAGATATGCAAGGTTCAAATATTCTCATTACAAAGGGATGTTGTCATGAGACATCATAGTTCTCCAGATGATATTGCTCTAAATTTATTGATGGAAAGAATAGATGTTCATCATATATGAAGTGAAAAAAGAGGATTCTGGCGGGCTACAGTCCACGGGGTCACAGAGAGTCAGACATGACTGAGCAACTAACACACACAATATTAATACTTAATTACTAATATTGCTATGTTTTGCTGTATATATGGTTTAAGATAGGTGTATATACATATATGTAGGAGTGTGTGTGTATATAGTTTCTGAGTAGCTCAGTGTATTATATTTAAGTTCAGTACAGTGTGACTCAGCACGCAAAAGCAAGGACACAAACATAGTTCTTGAATCAGAGCCTGAGACAGTTCAGTCTGGAGTTGGTGGAGTGTACAGGCTCTTTATTATATAATATATATTATAATATAAATTTTCCTGTTCTGGCATTGGGGTGGGGATGCTGTTTCGCATATCACCTCATGACCCAAAATGTCTGTCAAGCTTCAGCCAGCAGGTAAAGGAAAGGAAAAGTACACTTTTTTGGAGTAAGATGCTATCCCACTGAGAAATGTAGCCTTTGTTGCAGGCAGCCACACACCCAGTCAGAGACTGGGGTTCTTTCACTATGGGCAAAAGTGGGGAGTGGGTATTGCAGAGCAAGCTGAGGGCTCTGCCACACTCAGGCGGGAGTCACAGAGGCTTGAATTTCTCCAAGGAGATGGTTTTCGTATTGATGCTGGCAAACGTGTCTTTGCCTATGTCAGTTAACAATGTCCTCTTTTCTCTCCCAAATCATTTCCCTTCCAGCATGTTCAGCAGGTAAACGTTTGTTAATATTCATTCTGGCCTTCACCCATGTCTAGGCGTTTCCAAATGCCCAGTGTTCCCGACTGACGTAGTCCTCGCCTTGGACACGTCAGATGACGTCTCCCAGTTGGATTGTGAGAGGATGAGAGACATTTTACTGTCTCTGCTGATGAAGATGGGAATCAGTGGGAGTAACTGCCCCATGGGAGCCCAGCTGGCCGTTGTCTCCTATGGCAACGGAACCGATTACCTGGTTCGCCTCTCTGACCGCAAAGGGAGGCCCGCACTCCTGCAGGCGGTCAGGGGGCTCTCGCCGGCAGGCTCATCTGGCAGCAGGCACCTTGGGGACGCCGTGAGGTTTGCGGTTAGACACGTATTCAAGCGCCTGCGTGCAGGCCCCCTCCTGGGGAAGGTGGCCGTGTTCTTCCAGGTGGGCTGGACCCGGGATGCAGGTTCTATCAGCACCGCCACGCTGGAGCTCAGCATGTTGGACATCACTGCTGTGGTCGTCACTTTCACAGAGGACCACAGCCTCCTGGATGCCCTGCTGGTGAGTGAGGGACTGAGGCTGGGCGGGGGTCCAGGGGTTAGTGCTTAGCATGTGGGGAGAGAGAGCTGGTCAGGGGAAGAATTCTCCAGAAACTGAGGTATATGTGTGTGGGGGAGACAGGTGCAGGGATGTCTCATTACAGACTCGGCTGCCAGTGTTACTGCTGGTAGCCAGTGGCCATCCTTGAGTATATACTTCATGCCATGTGCCTTTTAAAGAGTCTTACTGAAGTCCCCTCAAACTCTGTAAGGTAGATGTCATTGTCGAGCTCCTTTTCAGAGTTAAGAATACTGAGGCTTAGACAGGTTAAGTATGTCTTCAAAGTTCAAATATCTTGTTAGGTGCAGGCTGATTTTTATCTAACTTGAGAGCCTCTGCTTACCCACTCTGCTAACCTGTATGATGAAGCAGGGGACAGGGCAGGCAGTCCACAGACTGTGATTTATCTTCTCTATTTTACTTGGGTTGTATAAAACCCATGGGGGCTTCCCCGGTGGCTCAGTGGTAGAGAATCCACCTGCTAATGCAGGAGACTCAGGTTCAATCCCTGAGTTGGGAAGATCCCTGGAGGAGGAAATGGCAACCCACTCCAGTATTCTTGCCTGGGAAATCCCATGGACAGAGGAGCCTGGTGGGCTACAATCCATGGGATTGCAAAAGATTTGGACGTGACTAAGTGCTCAGCACATGCATACATAAAATCCATATCCACATACAAAGTGGATAAGGGGTACTTATTTTAAGGATGCAGCTATATGGATTTTCATATGTGTTTAAAGCCCAATGACCAAGACATAGTTCAAGATAACTGAATACTTCAGGCATTCTGTATGTTTCCTCCTATGACCTTTCCAGCATCTGTCACCATCAAATGGTTTCATCTGATCTGGTCCTTTGTGCAGATTGAATCGGACAGCATGTATCTCTTTGTATCTGGCTTCTTTCACTCAACTTACTGTCTGTTCTCTTGTTCATCCATATAGATTAATTTTTTATTGAGTAAGTTTTTAAAACTAAAGTTCTCTAGTGTTGTATGTATATAGCACACTTTATTTTTTGAAATTGAAAGATAGTTGATTTATAATTTTGTGTTTCAGGTGTATAGCTCAATGATTTGTGTGTATATATATATATATGCATATCATATCATATATATACATATATATATATATATATATATATATGAGTCTTTTTCAGATTCTTTTCCATTATAGATTGCCACAAGGTGTTGAATATAATTCCCTGGCTGTACAGTGGATCTTTGTTGTTTATCCATCTTGCATACAGTAGTGTGCATCTGCTAATCCCAAACTCCTAACTTATCCCTCCTTCCTTTCTCCCCTTTGATAACCATATTTTAGTCTTCTACATGTACCACAATGTATTCATTGATCTAGTCTCTAAACTTTACTTTTCTAACTAAAACCCATCTAAAACCTTCTTATGGGCCATCTGGGATGATTTATACGAATGAAAGACGATTTCCTTCTTAAGTGATTTCAATAGGCTGATGCATATAAGATGAAGCTATGTTCCATTGTCAATATTCAACTGTTTCTGATCTGAAAAAATGGAAATGTCATATGGTTCAATCTAATAGCTAAAAAAGTCATCTGTATTGGACTCTTTAGCTTTCTCTGAAGGTTAGGTGTGCAGTTTGTGCAGTAGGTGAGAGATTTTGTGGACATAGCTGTGAATATGCTTCTAGGAATCAATAGGTAAGATTGTGACAGCTTGTGAACTGTTGAGAAGGATGGACAAAATATCTTTAGGTTTCAGAAATAAAGTTAAGATACTGAGGGTCAGTCCCTCTTGCCTCCCAGGATGTCTGGACAGGAATGGGTAGGGGATGGTGGCAACTCTCAGTAACTGCCTTGAATCGATTAGTAAAGACAGAGTGAGACAAGTTGTTCTTGTTCAGTCTCTAAGTTCTGTCCAGCTCTTTGCTACCCCATGGACTGCAGCACACCAGGCTTCCCTGTCTTCCACTACCTCCCAGAATTTGCTCAAGTTCATGTCCATTGAAAGTGAAGAAGAAATAAACAGCCTCTTGATGAAAGTGAAAGAGGAGAGTGAAAAAGTTGGCTTAAAGCTCAACATTCAGAAAACTAAGATCATGGCATCTGGTCCCATCACTTCATGGCAAATAGATGGGGAAACAGTGGAAACAGTCGCAGACTTTAATTTTTGGGCTCCCAAATCACTGCAGATGGTGATTGCAGCCATGAATTTAAAAGATGCTTACTCCTTGGAAGGAAAGTTATGACCAACCTAGACAGCATATTAAAAACCAGAGACATTACTTTGCCAACAAAGATCTGTCTAGTCAAGGCTATGTTTTTTCCAGTGGTCATGTACGGATGTGAGAGTTGGACTATAAAGACAGCTGAGTGCCGAAAAATTGATGATTTTGAACTGTGGTGTTAGAGAAGACTCTTGAGAGTCCCTTGGACTGCAAGGAGATCCAACCAGTCCATCCTAAAGGAGATCAGTCCTGCATATTCATTGGAAGGACTGATGCTGAAGCTGAAACTCCAATACTTTGACTACCTCATGTGAAGAACTGACTCATTGGAAAAGACCCTGATGCTGGGAAAGATTGAGGGCAGGAGGAGAAGGGGACGACAGAGGGTGAGATGGTTGGATGGAATCACTGACTCAATGGACATGGGTTTGGGTAGGCTCCGGGAGTTGGTGATGGACATTGAGGCCTGGTGTGCTGCAGTCCGTGGAGTCGCAAAGAGTTGGACACGACTGAGCGACTGAACTGAACTGATGTCCATTGACTCAGTGATGCCATCCAACCATCTTATCCTCTGCTGCCCTCTTCTCCTTTTGTCTTCAACCTTTCTCAGCATCAGGGTCTTTTCCAATCAGTCAGGTCTTCATATCAGATGGCCAAAATATTGGAGCTTCAGCTTCAGCATCAGTGCTTCCAGTGAACATTGGGGGTTGATTTCCTTTCAGATTGATTAATTTGATCTCCTTGCAGTTCAAGGGACTTTGGAGAGTCTTCTCCAGAACCACAATTCAAAAACATCAATTTTTTGTTGCTCAGCCTTCTTTATTGTCCAACTCTCACATCCATAAGTGACTGCTCTAAAAACCAAAGCTTTGACTGTATGAACCTTTGTTGGCAAAGTTATGTCTTTGCTTTTTAATATGATGTGTAGGTTTGTCATAGCTTTCCTTCCAAGAGGGAAGCTTCTTCTAATTTCATGGCTGCAGTCACCATCTGCAGTGATTTTGGAGCCCATGAAAAGAAATCAGTCACTGTTTCCATTTTCCCCTTCTACTTGCCATGAAGGGATGGGACCAGATGCCTTGATCTTAGATTTTTTTAATGTTGAGTTTTAAGACAGCTTTTTCACTCCCCTCATCAGGAGGCTCTTTGGTTCCTCTTTGGTTTCTGCTGTAAGAGTGGTATCATTTGCATATCTGATGTTAATATTTCTCCCAGCAATCTTGATTCCAGCTTGTGATTCATCCAGCCCAGCATTTCCCATGATGTACTCTGTATGTAAGTTAAATAATTACAGCCTTATCAAGTTCCTTTCCCAATTTTGAACCAATCAGTTGTTCCATGTAAGGTTCTAACTGTTGCTTCTTGACCTGCATATAGGTTTCTCAAGAGATAGGTAAGGTGGTCTGGTATTCCCATCTCTTGAAGAATTTTCCACAGTTTGTTGTGATCCACACAGTCAAAGGCTTTCTCCTAGTCAATGAAGCAGAAGTAGATGTTTTCCTGGAACTCCCTTACTTCTTGTATGATCCAACAAATGTTGGCAATTTGATCTCTGATTTCTTTGTCTTTTCTAAACCCAGCTTGTATATCTGGAAGTTCTCAGTATATATACTTCTGAAGCTTAGCTTAAAGGATTTTTAACATAACCTTACTAGCATGGGGAATGAGTGCAATTGCCCAATAGTTTGAATATTCTTTGACACTGCCCTCCTTTGTGGTTGGAATGAAAACTGACCTTTTCCAGTCCAGTGGACACTGCCGAATTTTCTAAATTTGCTGACATATTGAGTGTAGCACTTTAACAACATCATCTTTTAGGATTTTAAATAGCTCAGCCGAGATTCCATCACCTCTACTAGCTTTGCTCATAGTAATGTTTCATGAGGCCCACTTGACTTTACATTCCAGGATGTCTGGCTCTAGGTGCGTGACCATACCACCCTGGTTATCCCAGTCATTCAGACCTTTTTTGTATTGTTCTTCTGTGTATTTTTGCCACCTCTTCTTAATCTCTGTTAGGTTTTTACTGTTTTTGTCCTTTATCATGCCCATCCTTGCATGAAATGTACCCTTGATATCTCCAATTTTCTTGAAGCGATCTCTGTTCTATTGTTTCCCTCTATTTCTTTGCATTGTTCATTGAACAAGGCCTTCTTATCTCTCCTTGCTGTTCTCTGGAACTCTGCATTCTGTTGGGCATATCTTTCTTTTTCTCCCTTGCTTTTTGCTTCTCTTCTTTTCTCAGGTGTTTGTAAAGTCTCCTCAGACAACCACTTTGTCTTCTTGCATTTCTTTTTCTTTGGGATGGTTTTGGTCACCACCTCCTGGACAATGTTAGGAACCTGTTTCCATAGTTCTTCAGGCACTCCATCTGCCAGATCTAGTCATTTTAATCTGTTTATCACCTACACTGTATAATCATAAGAAATTTGATTTAGGTAATAACATGAATGGCATAGTGGTTTTCCCTACTTTCTTCAATGAAAGCCTGAATTTTGCAACAAGGAACTCATGAAATGAGTCACTGTCAGCTCCAAGTCTTGTTTTTGCTGACTGTATAGAGCTTCTCCATCTTTGGCTGCAAAGAATATAATTAATCTGATTTTGGTATTGACCATCTGGTAATGTCTATGTGTAGAGTCATCTCTTATATTGGAAAAAGGTGTGGGAAAGGGATTGCTGGAAAGGATTTGTTGTTGTTGGAAAATGGTGTTTATTATGACCAGAGCATGTTTTTGGCGTGGTTCTCCCCTTC